GGTATACACATAGGACCCCTCCCCCTCCCTTCTATGTTTGTCTTAGTGAGGTATACACATAGGACCCCTCCCCCTCCCTTCTATGTTTGTCTTAGTGTGATACACACATAGGACCCCTCCCCCTCCCTTCTATGTTTGTCTTAGTGAGGTATACACATAGGACCCCTCCCCCTCCCTTCTATGTCTGTCTTAGTGAGATACACACATAGGACCCCTCTCCCTCCCTTCTATGTTTGTCTTAGTGAAATACACACATAGGACCCCTCTCCCTCCCTTCTATGTTTGTTTTATCTCCCTTCCATGTTTGATTTGTGAGATACACACATAGGCCGCCCCCCTCCCTTCTATGTTTGTGTTAGTGAGATACACACATAGGACCCCCCCACCCCCCCACCCCTCTCCCCCTCCCTTCAATTTGAGATACAAACACATTTTGTGTGTCCAGCACTAAATAAGGGATTAAGAATGTGTAGATTTTTGTATTTGTATATTTACTTTTGGGTGTTATAAATGGATGATTCACAATATCACGATCTTCCTGTATGTCATTAAGCAGGATGTTGCTAGGAGCATTAGCCCGGAAGACCACTCTCCATATCTGTTTGTCACTAAGTCCAGCTCCAATGTACATATGCACATGTAGGCATTGAACAATATAGAAAATCTGTCATACTTTCTGAAACTGAGAATAGAACAATTTGGAGTCTGTTTCATAGATTTGTAATAAATAGAAGTAATGTCTTCAGGTCAACAAATTACAGTTCTCCTTATTTTCTACGTCAATGAGTAAATATATTTTATACGGGTACCTTTGCCAACACTGAACAAGTACGATTTAACTATTATCTATATTTCCAAGGCAAGGTTTGGGCCCTCTGTTAAGTCTACATGTTGATTCCCAGACAAGGGTTAGGCTCTCTGTTAAGTCTACATGTTGATTCCAAGACATGGTTTGGGCCCTTTGTTAAGTCTACATGTTGATTCCCATACAAGGGTTAGGCCCTCTGTTAAGTCTACATGTTGATTCCAAGACATGGTTTGGGCCCTTTGTTAAGTCTACATGTTGATTCCCAGTCAAGGTTTGGGCCTCTGTTAAGTCTACATGTTGATTCCCAGGCAAGGTTTGGGCCTTTTGTTAAGTCTACATGTTGATTCCAAGACATGGTTTGGGCCCTCTGTTAAGTTTACATGTTGATTCCCAGGCAAGGTTTGGGCCCTCTGTTAAGTTTACATGTTGATTCCCAGGCTAGGTTTGGGCCCTCTGTTAAGTCTACATTTTGATTCCCAGACAAGGTTTGGGCCCTCTGTTAAGTCTGCATGTTGATTCCAAGACAAGGTTGGGGCCCTTTGTTAAGTCTACATGTTGATTCCCAGTCAAGGTTTGGGCCTTTTGTTAAGTCTACATGTTGATTCCCAGTCAAGGTTGGGGCCCTTTGTTAAGTCTACATGTTGATTCCCAGTCAAGGTTTGGGCCCTCTGTTAGGTCCACATGTTGATTTCACAGGCAAGGTTTGGGAGTTTTAGGGAGATGGGTAAATTTTGGTCAAAATGAGGGAGTCTCCCTCCTAACGAGGAAGGTTTGACAGCTATGAATGGAGAAGCTAAACACTTAAATTAATGGCAGATCCAGGCCCCTCTGAGTGAACTCCAAAATATTGTTTTACTACTTACAGTTTTGAGGGAGTTCTGGGATGTGGATCTACCCTGTAGAATCAATGGGGGTTGGTCCACCCTGTAGAATCAATGGGGGTGGGTCTACCCTGTAGAATCAATGGGTCCAACCCTGTAGAATCAATGGGGGTTGGTCCACCCTGTAGAATCAATGGGGGTGGGTCTACCCTGTAGAATCAATGGGTCCAACCCTGTAGAATCAATGGGGGTTGGTCCACCCTGTAGAATCAATGGGGGTGGGTCTACCCTGTAGAATCAATGGGTCCAACCCTGTAGAATCAATGGGGGTTGGTCCACCCTGTAGAATCAATGGGGGTGGGTCTACCCTGTAGAATCAATGGGTCCAACCCTGTAGAATCAATGGGGGTTGGTCCACCCTGTAGAATCAATGGGGGTGGGTCTACCCTGTAGAATCAATGGGTCCAACCCTGTAGAATCAATGGGGGTTGGTCCACCCTGTAGAATCAATGGGGGTGGGTCTACCCTGTAGAATCAATGGGTCCAACCCTGTAGAATCAATGGGGGTTAATGGTCCACCCTGTAGAATCAATGGGGGTAGGTAGCAGGGTGTGAAGTTTAGGTCCCTGTTCTTAAAGGGAGCGATGAAATAATCAAACATATAAGGTATGAACCCTTTTACCACTGTAGACCATAATGGACTCATCCCGATCAAAGGGGTGAAAGGGTTAATCCCTTGTCAAAGCCCTGTTAAACCCTTGTCAAAGCCCCGTGTTTAGGTACATACTTAGTAAGCCTGTGATTAGATCAGGGAGGCTGGAAGTGACCTTTGACCTGTATATAGGACTGTCATCATGTTTATACTTCCTTATTATACACAATTTGTGAATTTTGTGAAATTCACATCAAAATGGTGGACTATACCGGAGTGTTTATGCTGGTGTTCGTGTGTCTGACATCATGTCGAGGTAAGCTGGGTCTTTCTGCTGTTGTTGAAGCAATCTTGTAAAACAATCTACCTCAATGGTCTGTTCTGTCAGTGAATTATTTTATACGTGTCAAATAGACAGCGACCCCTATATGTATCTTTGTATTAATTTTGTTTGATTCTGCTGATTATTATACAAAGTATTATTTAGTCGATGATTTTCGTTATTCATCAACGTACATGTTTCTATGGAGGGATTCTGCACGTTCAAAATTAAAAAATATAAATAAAGGATGTTTATGTACCACATAGACACAAAATAACCATTTAAAATGACATATTTTGAGTTGTTCGATCAGGTGAAATTTCACTTATTGAAAATACTAAATTCAAGGGTCCAAAGTCGGGAGCCTCCCTCCTAAATAGGGAGGGTTGGCAGATCAACTTAAATGTGAAGTAATATTCTGTTGACTCAAACATCCAGATATGACCCAGTTCACCCACAGTACTACACTGCAATAGCAGTGGCTGATCCAGAGACCTATCGGGGGGGGG